TTTATTTATTTATTTATTTATTTATTTATTTATTTATTTATTTATTTTGTAGTTGTAGTAGTAGTACTAGTAGTAGTAGTACTGGTAGTAATAGTCTGTAGTAGTAGTCGTACTGGTAGTAATAGTCGTACCAGTAGTAGTAGTTATAGTAATAGTCGGTAGTAATAGTGGTAGTAGTAGTAGTAGTAGTAGTAGTAAGAAGTAGTAGTAGTAGTAGTAGTGGTAGTGGTAGTAGAAGTAGTAGTAGTAGTCGTCATACCAGTAGTAGTAGTCGGTAGTAGTAGTAGTAGTAAGAAGTAGTAGTAGTAGTAGTAGTAGTAGTAGTGGTAGTAGTAAGAAGTAGTAGTAGTAGTATTGTTATTTTCTTGTCCCAGGCAGTGCAGAGTGACAGATCCTGACAAGTGGAGGGAGGAAATTTATCCACCAGCAGATACAATGAAGAGCCAGGGGGTGGCCAATGGCAGCACAACAGCTCAGTGGTTTGCACTGATGCCTCACAGCAAGAAGGTCCTAGGTTCAATTCCCGGTTGGACCTGAGGGCTTTCTGTGTAGAGTTTGCATGTTCTTCTTGTGCTTCCGTGGGTTTTCTCCGGGTACTCTGGTTTCCTCCCACAGACCAAAATGTTAGGCTGCCTTCAGGCCCAGGCCTCCCTTGTAAAAGAGATATGTGATCTCAATGGGATTTGCCTGGTTAAATAAAGGTTAAATAAAAAAATTAAAAAAAATGGTGGCCTTGTCCACCATGTATTAATTTTTAGCCACTCCAGTCATTTGAGGAAACTAATTTTAAGCAATATAAAAACTATAAAGGCCAATTTCCTCAAATGATAGGGATGATAGGTTTATACTGAACAAAAGTATAAATCCAAAGATCTAAGACTTTTTCCATAACCATGAAAGGCCCTTTTCTCTCAAATATTGTTCATAAATTTGTGTAAATATGTTAGTGAGCAGATTGCTGGACATGGGCACCGGCGAGGCCCGTGACCCAAAATGGAAGAAGCGGGTAAAGATAATGGATGGATGGATGTGT